ACCAGTCCTTCATCACCTTAACTCAAATTGGATGAATGCATCGCATATATCTGCCCTCCAGTTTGTTGGAGTGGTTTAACCTCGTTTCCATATCATGTTCGCTTCGCGAGGGTGAACTAGATAAAGGCAACTCGTATCGAAGTCTGTGATCGAAAGTCAGATGTGTTCCTCAATTACTTTTGCATCTCATCTGTTGTCCCACCGGATTGACTGCCACTATCCGACGGCTTCAGTCAGAGCTCTTTTTACCCGGAATCCCACACTGGCTGCAGCTGGACAAAATTTTGCTCTAGTCTATCTCCCCAAGAAAAAGCGACACTCTCATTCGTGTTGATTTCGCTGCTTTCGGCACAGTGGCTTCACTATCCTTAGCTTTCTCTTGCCCAAAGCCTTGCCTGGCTCACAGCGAGCCTTTCTTCGTGATGCACTCATCAAAGCATCCTCCTTTTAGAAAAAACTCATGACACTCTGCTTCGGACTTGTGTGTATCGGTCGAAGCAGCGAATTCGCAGCAAAAAGAAGCTTTCCTAATAAAATAGCATAACTTTAGGCCTACCTAATAATTATTACGGAGCTTAACTTTCCTCCAAAAGATATGGAGAAAAAGTTCAGCATTTGTGTATGCAATATGCATTTAGGGTCTTAAAACAGGCGTACAAAAATCCCATTTTCCCTAATATTTCCCTTAAATGTGTGCATAAGCAAGAAATGCACATTTAGATCATGCAGAGGGAAAAAATAAAATTCTGGTTTGCCCAGGTTGAACCTGGTTATTTGGACCAGTGATGACTTTACAACAAAAAGATAATGAAGCAGTCGGGCCCTTCCATGCGAGAGACCTGTTTCAACTCTCGAGTTATTCTCAATTGCAGGCCTATTTTCAGCCACATGGGCACACGCAAAAGCACACATATGCATGCACAATCACAAAAATATACATACACCTAAAAAACAAACATACATAGATACAAGCGTGCATTCATGCAAATATACATGCATATGCACATTCGTATAAACATAGACAGATACATACATGCATACATGCATACATACATACATATACAAAAGCTTGGAATGGTGTCAATATGAGTTAGAATGAGATGTATTCACGCTATTTTTCCCATAATTATATGGGTAGAGCTGACGGTTCTATTGAATTTCACATAGCCTTGCTTTCCCAAAAGGTATTATCGTCCAGGCAGAGGTGGTTTGCAATTTTGACTTCGCCTAGGTCTTATCAACACCCCAGCGGCACTCGAACAATGACAGTGCAGCATTCAATCTCGACACATTTCCACGTGTCCTAGAGTGAATACACCTCGTATAACTG